GGGCTGCGGGAGGCAGCACTCCCTGAAGTAGCAGTAGAGCCGCGGGTAGGAGATGAAGCCGGTAAGGGCCGAGGCGGCGGCGCCCGCGATCGCCAGCCCTAGGCTGATGGGTTCCACAGCGCTCGCCGGCCCGAGGAACAGCGGCAGCAACGCCAGCCCCAGGGCCGCCCGCAGCGGGCCCCGCCGCAGCTTCATGGCCCGCCCGGCCCCGCTGCCGGCCCCGCCGCCGCTTCCGCCCCTCCGCTTCCGCCGCCGCCATCTTAGGTGCGGGCAGAGGCGGGGCTGAGGCTGAGGGCGGCCGCCATGCTGGAAGGGCACCAGCGGCTGTAATTAGCTAAATGGCGGCCTCGTGTGGCTCACTTGCTGAAGCGCTGCGGTAATGCTCTGAAGACAGCTTAATGCCCTGTCCGCAGGTACTCGGGGGAACGCCACCTGGCCCACAGAACTTTCCTCTTTTCTAAAAAAAAAGTAAAATCTGGGGCTATCCCAGCCCTTCCCTGGAGTTTCCGCTCCTGAGCGATGGGATATGGACACGGACAGCGGCAGGGCCATAGGACACCAGCAGGGCCATGGGACACCAGCACCACCTGCACCCAGAAACCATCAGCGTGCATCCCAGAAAGGAAAAATGCCATTTACAATTGCTTAAAAACGCTTTTATTGTTTTCAGGTTACAAATCTTGCCTTCAAACTCGCGCACATCATACCTCCTGGGAAAACACAGCTGATATCCACTGTGGGGCATCTGGGCTTCTTCATCAGCTGCCACAGTGACCCTGTCCTGAGAGCTAAGAGTGAGATTTTCCTCAAATCCAACAGCTACAACCTGAAACAATCTTCTTTTTTTTTTTCCCAGCTAAAATAAAATGCCATGAGCGGCTACAGAAATGTCTACAGGGGGAAAAAAAGATACAAAACAGCACGGTATGTGATATAAAATCCCCGGTGCTGTCCATGAGCGGCTACAGAAATGTCTACAGGGGGAAAAAAAGATACAAAACAGCACGGTATGTGATATAAAATCCCCGGTGCTGTGTCTGTGGTGGTTTCTTGTGCTGAGGACAGACCCCGCGAGGCAGCACCGATTTCTGCCCCAGCACTTCTGATCCAGCCCTGAGGAGCAGCGACACTGAACACGCTGCTGAAGCATCTCAGCCTTACACACCCTGCACAGCCCAGGCCCTTGGGCACAAACACAGAAACTCTTACAAAACTACATTCAAGCAAACCAGCTTTCACCCTTCCCTTTATATTTACAAGGCAAACAGCACTGCTGCTTTTAAAGGACCTCTTCCTCATATTCTTTTAAAAGGGTGAAAGAATGCCAACCATGATAGCTCATGTTCTTCTAAAATAAGAAGTTTATGACTAAAAATAAGCTATATACAAGATTTTATGGACCAAAGAGTTCACAATCACCTGCCAACTGATTCACTACAGGGTCACAAGAAAAGCTTTGTAGGTTAACACCACTATGTGAAGGTAGTGACTCTCTGTATATCCGTTTCAGGTCACCGACACAAAATTCTTTATTGGTGGAAAATAAGAGCAACTGCAAAGAGTTCAGTCCATCCTTATCAGTATCGCCTATTCATCTTCTTGAATTTCTCATAGTGATAATCATCTGTAGCTTTTTCATTGAGAGGACGCTTGCGATTTGGAGGAGACCCTTCAAAAGAAAGAGAAGGAAGTATCAGTTCCCTGTCCTTCTGCAGGAGACATTTCCTTAACTCCCCCACTTCCCTTATACAGCCCCCTGCTCTGTGAAAGGTTATGGCTTTAGCTGTCACTGCTCCCCTTGCCCCCCTTTCTGTTCCAGCTTTCATCACACCCTTCTCAGCCAGCTTTGGCAACACGTTTGAGGTGGGACCTTCGCTCCTCCACCCTTGGGCATCTCTAAAGACACCTCCCATTCAGAGGGCTTCACGTGTGACCTCCTAGGGCACACCAAGTGCACTCAGAGAAGAGAAAGTAAGAACATCCAGATCATTTCTCTGTGCAAGACCCCCTAAGAGTTTCAGTGTCTCTCCCTATGACATTTCAGATTAGGAACATACGCTCAGGTTCTGGCCTCTCCGTGTCCCCCACTCGCAGCGGACGGGGCTTTGGCTCTTCTTTGTTCCTTCGCACTGGTGCATTGAGCTCCTCATGATAAACTGAAAGAAGGAAAACATCAGATAGGGACTATTATCTGGAGCAGTGTTATGCAGAGGGACATAATTCTACGGCATTTGTTACAACTGATCTTTAGCAGAAGCAACAGAACCTCAGCATAAGCATTCTTCAATACACACAAGATGGGAGACAGCAAATTTCAGTAGCACTGTTTCATTAGAAGTTGCCCAAAGACTCATTTCCTTCAGAACACACAAATCTGACTCCAAAACTCCCCCGTACGCAGGGTTAGAGGCAGCAGAAGGCTGCCTTTCCTCCAGATGGCTGCCGTATGAGAGGCTCTCCCGGAAATTACTTCCCATCTCCTGTCTGCTAAGGTCTATGTTTGCTTGACCACCTGTCTGCTCGGGCAGCCTACAAAATGGATTGTCTCAATTACAAACCATCATTTATAATGGCAGATGAGGCAGGCATTTCCAGGCACATGCTCAAGACACAACTCAAAGAAAAACTCTTGAAATTTATGAGGCTGTGTCAGCCGGGAGTTCAAGAGCAGAAAGTCAAGCTGTGAGTAATGTGTCCCTCTCCTCGCTGATGGATGGAAGAAAAAGACCAAGCCAGATGGGGTCTATAGGAGCATCCCAGAAAGAGGAATCAAACAGCTGCTTGTGCTGAGACACGAACCAATTTCTCCTGCATCAGGCTCTGTCCCAACTGACTGCTTTGCTTCAGCAGAGGAGAGGGTCACACCTGGGCCAGGAGAGCTATGTGACACTTACATCTGTTGTGCTGGACGTAGTTAACAGCCATGTTGGTGGGAACAAAAGAAGTTTCGCTGTCTTTCTTTTTGTTCTGCTGCTCTGCCAGCAGCTTGGCCTTGGCCTCTTCAGTTGAGATGATGTTTTTGATTTTTGCGCTAGAAGAAAAACAAAGGAAAACAAACCCCTCATTCATCCATAGGAAGGAGAGTAGGCAGAGAAGTGCTAAGTCCATGGATTTAGGGGATAGTAATACACGCTATGGCATCTGATATATTTTTTGAGAGAGGAGGCAGTGCTCTAGAAACAAACGCTTTGTTTCAAAGGCAAAAGAGAAGCTTGCATCCTCTTTCCATGCAGGGCATAAATGGATTGTGCTAGTCACAAAAATAAAGAGCCTTCTCCCAGAAGTCATGCGATGGAGCTGCACTGGAGCCCTGTCACTGTCGAGAACATGCTGTGCTAGATACCATCCCAATCCCATCCCAGAGTCCAACTGGGGCTGTCTCCTCCAGCCATACTCCTGCTCCACCCATCAACAGCTGCTCATCCTGGCAATTCAGGCCAGAACCAAAAGATCCGTGAAACACGTACTCAATTCCCAGGTCCACTTCGGGAATGCCGCTCAGCATCTGGTTGGACAGCATCTCCTCAGTCTTTTTGGCAGAGGAGACACGGATGTTCTCTGGCAGCTCGTACAGAGAGTCCTCAGCATTTTTTAGCTTCACCTTCTGCTCCTCGTTCTCCACAATTCCCTTTCTCTTCTTCAGCTCTGTCTCAATGTACTTCATCCTAAACAGCAGCACATGAGGGACACACAGTATTTAATTCTGTTTTCCGTACACTGTTGCAGCATGGCTGGGCACAGCTGCATCCCTGTCCTGAGATCAGGAAGAGAGGAATGAGTCATCTCTCCAAAAAGAACTCGGCTAACATCAATTGCAATTGTGCAAGAAATAATCAGATCCTCCAAGCTCTTCCACTGCCAGCAGGGAAGGCTCCCACTGGTATTTAATGCCAGGCAAGCTGGTTGGCACCTCCTGGCTTTGTCCACAGAAAAGCCTTCTCAAGGGTGGCAGCCAGAAGGTGAAAGGGCAAGTGGAAGTTTCCGTGAGAACTGGGAAGATGTTCTGGGACTAGTCCATATCCAAGACAAAAAAACCCCACACTTTGAGGGGACACCCAATCCCCAATTCAACATCCCAGACACAACACAGCACAACTTACATGTCAGCATCTTCATCCCGCCTGTTGGTTTCCGCGGAGAAGGAAGTTCCCAAGTTTAGATCTTCCTCTTCATTGATCCTAAATGGAAGCCACAATGTTTATGGTTTTCAGTTTGGGGCTGTGGTTTGTTTGGTCATCAAAAGCTCATATGCACCCACCTGTCCTTGCCTCTTTCTTTCAGCTTCTTCATGTCCACCATTCCCCCAGATTTTATCTTAAATGGGTCATCCTGTAAAATAAGAAATAATGAATAACCCTGAAGCTTCCCTCCTTTTTAATGCTGGTCTTTGGGATCTGGATTAACACCCAGAGAACGTTCAAGGATTGAGCTGTGACACCAGTCCTACCCCAGGCCAGACTGGCTGGACCATGCTGGTGTTTTCACACCCTTACATCTGAGCCCCAAGGTGACCAAAGTGTCCAGCACTCACCACAAGTGTTGCTTCTTCTTGCAACTTTTCTCCCACAAGCAGAGCTACGGCGCTGGTCAAGCGGAGAAAGAAAGTAAAGATGTTTCAGTGGAAGGAATTTACTGTTCTGTGACACCATCTGACAACACAAACTCACACCCTTGGTGCTCCATCCCTTACCTCACCCCATTGGGTCGCTTTCTGAGGCTCTGAACTTCTTTGGTTTCCTCAAGTTTTAACCTAGAGAAAAAACATTTGACTTAGGACTTGATGCTTTGTTTTTTGTCGATTAACTTAATTTGATTTTTTGCGCTTAATGTGGCATCTTCTAGACAGGCCTTGCCTTAAACTTCTGCATATCGGTAGCCACTTGTCTGGTTACAGATTAGATAGATATTTTCTATTTTACTTCATTTAAGCAATTCCAGTCAGAAAAAAACACATTGCATCTGCTGGTTATGCCTCTTCAACATGCCTTCCCTCAGCTGAGGAGGGAAGCACCCAAGCATGGAAAGGCTTTAACAAGGAGCCAATATTGGAAGAAGGAGTCCAGCATCATTGGCTTTGGTCCACGAAGATCTCCAGACAACGTTCTCCTCACAGGAGAACGGACAGTCACTATGAAACATGAATTAACGTGGGGCACCTTTACTCCTTCAGCAATTGACACCAGACATTTCTCAGGAGAAGGCAGAACTCATAAAACACACAATTTGCAGCAAAATTACCAGCAGCTCTTAAGTATAACACAGGTGAGTGGTTGTCAAATACACTGATGACTCAGAAGGAAGTTCAGGGTAAATTTAAGATCAAGTCTCTCTACACAGGGAGAGAGTCCCTCTACACAGGCTGACACACAGCCTTAATTTCTTCAGCTATTTAGACTTTTCCTAATTATGCATATCTTTCACTACCTACCATGAACTATGCATTTATTTCAGAGGTAAAATAAGAACAAGAGAGATCCTGCTTGGATGCACGGATCTGCAGAGGAGAAGGCCTATCTGCGAGGGCCAGTTTCTGAGGGAAACAGCGTGCAAAGGCCAACAGCGGGGCTGCGCTGCTCCCGGTGACCCCGCGGGGCTCTCGGTGCCCCCCTTCTCCTTCCAAGGGGTGCTCCGGCGGTTGTCCCGTCCCGGCTCCTCTCCTCCCCGGGCCGGCACATCCCGGAGGAGGCAGACGAGGAGTTTCCGTGGGAGAGACCCCCCCATCCGTAAAGCGGCCGGGGCTACCGGCGGGTTCCGCCGGGCCCAGCCGGGCTCTCCGCCGGTCCCCACACACCTGACCTCCTCCGCGACCTGCTCGTCCTCCTCCTCCTCTTCCGAGTCCTCCCTCCGCCGACGGAACGACTTCTTGGCGGGCATGGCGCCGGCCGCTGGGCTCCGCCACCACCGCC